ATATATATATATATATATATTTTAATAGGGGATAAAAAAAATTCACCCTAAATATTAAAATAGAAATGAATGCAATTACATTGAGCCTGACCATCTTTTGTTTTCCTTCTGGTGAGCAGTAGAAGCAGCAGGTGGCAGCACCTTCTCATTAGTATGAGCAGCACTCCACCGTTCCCTTTGCTGCTGCTCAGTTTGAAGCAAATTAATATCTAGTTATTCCCAAAGCCATTACATCTAGAAATGAAAAATCTGGCTCAAATGGACTTCATGAATATTCAACGAGACCAGATGTTACCTTTCATTATTGAGGTGAATCAGAGCTTCTTGTAACTTTTCCATCATCTCTGCTTGCTGTTCCTTTCCATGGCTAAGTGAAAGCTTTGCTTTCAAAGCAGGCAGGAGTTTTCTGTTTACAGGGGAATGACAGTTTGTGTTATCCTTGATTGTAAAACGAATGTACAAGGTTGAGAAATGACCTCAAGTTAAATAGCAATGTTGCAGTTACAGAGTCGTAATTTTATCAGTTAAAAGCATTTACAAAACTGGTAGGAATTATAATATTTCCTTTGCCAGTGGGAAGCTGTAGCACAGAGGTATGGATTAAGTCAGTGGCAGCAGTGTCAAAGGACTAACGACAAAGGACTCTTTAAGAAGTTATCGGGACTCTTTATTCTGTCTCTTGTTGCCAATACTAAAGGATAGATATTCTGAAAGGTAGAGGATTACTTACCTCTGAAAATCACTTAAGGACTCTGCTCAGTCCTACCATGGTGCCTATGATAGACCTAAGTATTTTTGGTGACATCCAAGCTCATGAGAGCTGTGATACAGAAACAAAGTCTAATTTGGGATCACATCCCAGATGAGTGCTTTAATAATTGGAAAACTGGTTATGATAAATGACTGCCTGATAACTGGTATTTATACAAAATTATTTTTATCCATTAAGAGACTTGGAGAAAGACATACCCTAGCACACCAAATAGCATAGTGTTTGCTATGTTTATCAGGCCACCCCTCTGCAGTCCTTCAAATTCCAGTTGATGTTCCCAATGCCCATGCTATGTTGTGTGACTTTCACAAAGCTCCAGTGTCTACCCAGTTGGGGTTAAGAATCTATTTGAAATCATGGTAATATTAATTGTCTAGCTGCAGTCAGGATTTGAGTCTTCTGTCTTAGTGGAAAGCTCACATCTCCAGGAGAGACTGCATCTTTGAATGCTGGCATCAGGAAATAAATCTTATTTTTATTTTTTCTTAATTCTTTATTTAAAAATGTAGCACAAGTTTTATCACAGATTGTAATTTTCTTTTTAAAGGTGAGAAATAGTTTAAGAAATAGCCCCCCCCTCTTTTTTTTTTTTTGTATTAAGAATTTCAGTCATAAAGCCTGATAACATTTTCAGCAACAATTCTTTGCCCCTTGGAAATTATCATTTAATGAAAACAAAATTTTTACAGTGATCTGTTCCTTCTGGCTAGATTTGTTTGAAAGCTTTATGTAGTATAGAATGGGGACAGGAGAAAGAAATAGCTCTCTAAAATAACTAGTGGCTTATGATAAAAACCATCCAGATTCATTGTTCCAACCCAAAGCCTTCAACTCTGAGCATTAGTTTGTCTTTTATTCTAGTCTTTTAGCCTTTTATTTTGTATGTATGTATGTGTGTGTATAGGCATATGACTAGAATGTATTTATATATTATATATGTTATGATTTGCACTGAGTGAAATAATTCAGCACTAAGGTCCCTTGTCTGGGGAATGGGAGATCTGTGGGCAAGTCTGTGCTTGACTTCATTTGGACCCTCCATTCCAGGACACACTTTAAGACACCATACTGTTTCAATATGTCTCTTGCATCTTCTTTCATAACAGCTGTGAAAGGTTTAGCTTCCTTTTGCGTAACAACAATTAAAAAATATTAACTCGAATTGTCCATATTTTTCAGTAATTTTTACATGCAGTATTTCTGAGAGCAATATTTAGACAGCCTTATACTAGGTGTAGTTTTATGTGTTTTCATTTCCTGCTTAAAGAATAGCAGTTTATGTGCTTCCTTTCTCCAGTATCTCTCTGTGTTGTTAAAGGTAGCCAGTGTTTACATTCCATTGCTTCTGCTTGCACAGGAGCTTCATGAAAACTGCTGTACTTGTTCTCCAAAAAGTGAAACCTCGGATGGGGCAGTTGTGGAATTAAATTTCAGATAGCCTCAATTTTCCTTCTGCTTTGTTTTATTTGGCCTTCTCTATAAAGGGGATATGATTAAAGTATATCTTTTTCCCTTTTTCCATCCCTTTTAATCTCCCCGATTTCCCATTTTTATAGGTGGGTTGGATCCTCTCCATCCTTGATGAGCTGCAACTCAGCCCCCCACCTCCTGTGGCTGTCCTTCCACTTGGAACTGGGAATGACCTTGCCCGTACCCTCAACTGGGGTGGGGTAAGCACACTGGGGTACTCTTATGTGTGGGCTCTCAACTTGGTCCTCTGATTTAGTAGTGCAGAGTGGAACTTCATTTTGTTTGAAATGGCAGGCAGGATGGTGTCCAAGGTCTGCCTGAATTAGGCAGAATGGTTTGGTTCAGTTCCCAGTCTGGGATCTTAAATTACTAACAAAGCAGTTGTTGTAATAAAAGCTTACATAGATGTATCTGTCTGGTATTTCAGGACAAATAATGAGGAGGATATGCAGGCTTCTAATTTTAAGCGTAACTTAAACTTTATTTCTCTGTATTTATCCCTGATTATATCACTGGAGTTATTCCAGGCAAGGCAAATACAGTTTGAGTTCCTCTCCTCATAGCCTTACTTTGTCTGCCCAAGACTTGTGTACCTCAGCAGTAGCTTGTTAAAATGCTTGATATATCAAATTTTAACAATATTTTGAGATGTTAAACATTTAATCTGGTGTTCTAGGCCAGAGAGAGAGGTCTGCCAGGTAATTGGTGAGTGACTGGCTTTGCTTTCACTATCCATGGCTGATACCCTGCTGACGTTCTGTTGTCAGGGTTACACAGATGAGCCAGTGTCCAAGATCCTGTGCCATGTAGAAGATGGGACCATTGTCCAGCTGGACCGCTGGAATCTCCAGGTTGAGCGCAATCCTGATTTGCCACAGGATGAGCTGGAGGATGGGGCACGTAAGGTTAGTGCTTTCTTTTTTCCAGGGAGACCATAGCATGCTCAAGAGCACCTTTGGGTTACACTATAAGCTGTGTGGGGGTGGGGAAGCTCTAAAACATTTTAATTTTCTGCATCTCTTCTTTTTGCTTTTTTCATGCGTTTTTTTGTTTTCCAGAGATGTGCAAAACGTAACGCATACCAGCCTTTTTTTTTTTTTTTTTTATTGTTTGTAACTCCCAGATATTGAGCATTTATCTCAAGAACTAAATCCTAGGAAAAAAAAAAAATCCCTAACATTTTATCTGGAAGGTCATTGTTGTTTTTCTCTAGTTAACCTGGGGTGGCAGTAGAAGCAATGCTGTGACTACTCTCCAGTCCTAAATTAAACAAAACTAAAAACAGGATGTAAAATTTAATTCCTTAGGAGTTTGCTAATGGATGCCAACCATTTCCTACTTTACAACAAGGTGTAGTGTATTTCTGTATTTAACTTCTTTGTGTGTGGGTCCCCATTTAATCTCCATTAGTGTATCTTGATAGTTGATGAATGGGAAAATTTTTGTGAGGGGATCACATTTATAATGATTATGTCATTTGGATTAGAGATGTTTAAAGTGTTGCAATCATAAAAAAACCCAAACCAAACCAAACCAAAAAAAAAACCAACCGATTTTGCGAACCTCTTCTCAGCTATAATTTGCAGTTTATCTATTGGATGCTGCTGTTCTCTCTATAGCCCTGCTGGGCTCATGGCATGATGAAGAGGCCAGATGTGTGCTTCCCTGCCTTATGCATCCTCAATAGAATTAGGGCTTCTTGTCTGGCACTTGCATTGCTCCTGGTTATATATGAAGCAGGAAGAACACAGCTTGAGTTTCATTCACCAATTTGAAGTGCCAGCAATTAGGAAAACCTTTGTATTGATATGTTCAGTGGAGCAGCATTATAGGAAATCTCCATGACAACATAAAGAACCTTTTGATGTGTTTATGAAGATACATATATCATCATAAAGTACTGTAAATGTGTTTGTGTTCTTTGAACTTTTGTATCTGATCATCTTCCACAAGCTTCAGAGAAACCTTCTGCATACATTTTCCTGTTATGTTCCACTTTCTTCTTCATAGGTTTTCATGAGATAACAGTTTGAAAGTAGTTAATTCCTGGTGTGCCATGGAATGTTTAATTCTTGTTATTTTTACACATCTTTTAATTATCCAATTACAGCTTCCTCTCAATGTCTTCAATAATTACTTCAGCCTTGGATTTGATGCACATGTTACACTGGAGTTCCATGAATCTAGAGGTAATAGGAATTTTTTTTTAAATTTCCTTAGCCTTGAAAATGGGTAATTATTTTATGAATTACGCATGGACTTGGATTTAACGTCCTGTTCTTATTATTCAGAAGGAAAGCTAGAACATAAAAAACTAAGATATATTTAAGTAGGAAGGAATTGTTTGTATCATGAGTTTCCAAGGGGCTTAATGTTTTAAAAATGAAGTACAAGGAAAAATGGTGTTCACTAGAGGAGAAGGGCTAAAATGGGATCTTTTCAAAGTTTTTGATCTTCTAAAGGAGATACCAAGTACAGATACAAAGGAAGGTTATGCTGATGCAGAAGTGTCAGAGTAAAAGCAGAAAGGAAAACAAATGGAAGTCAGGTGCAAGTATGGAGGTAGAGGAAGGAGAAAAGTGGCGAGACTGCAGCAGTAGCAGGAAGAGAATTGTGTTCTCAAACTGAACAGCTGTTACCCATGGATCAGTGTATCACAGTATCACAGGAATCTGTGCAGACCCAGAGTGTTTCTATGCAAGCTTTTAATGCCCACAAAGCTAACATGAATTCGAGCTGCTGTAGCATCTTGTTTGCTCCCTTGCCAATGGCAGTTATACCAGATCCAAATGTGGTGTAATAGGTGGACTTTGGACTGATCTGAACTACTTTATTTATATGGTTTAGGCAAGCATGCTTGTATAAACAAACCTTGTCTAGTTGCCTGAGTTCAGCTTTTGGCCACTTCAGCTTCATATACGAGTAGCTTTTCTAAATCACAACCTCCCTCATCTTTGCTTTCACACTATCAGAGTGTCATTTCAAGATGAAAAGATAGCACTTTAATGCCATGTTAAATAAAGAGCAGGACACATGATGGAATGAGCTAATGCATATTTTATAATGTTTAAGACTGCTTCAAGCTTTTGGAATAATAATGAGGGGCCACAAAAGGGCACAGGAATGAAATGATGACAGCTGTATGTATTTTTTTATGAATGCATATCATTATGCATTGTTAATGTGACTGTGAAAATACTGTTTAGATTAAATGCATGGCTACTTTCTCAGTTAATGGAGGCATTACTTAATAATGAAATTATGGACCCCTATAAAGAATGGATGTTATTCTAGAGATGCCAGTGTTTTAAAAATTTATATGGGTGAAAAAATACTTGGCAGAGCAAGCTGTGTGTCTGTGGGTGGGTATGCATGGCCAGGAGAGCTTTTCACAGCACAAATCTCTGCTCTTACAAGTTATTACTGCTGGTGTCTTCCTTACCCTCTGAAATGCTAAAATATACAAAGTGAGTCCTAAGTATTTTAAGAGAGAAAAGCTTATAGCCTTAGAATTGTTGCTGGTGTGTGGGTTTTGCTTTTTTTCATGTGGAAATGAGGTTCTTCAGCCTGGAGAAGAGAAAGCTCTGGGGGACACCTTATTGCAGCCTTTCAGTATTTAAGGAGGGCTTATAAGAAAAATGAGGACAGACACTTTAGTAGGGCTTCTTGTGATTGGACAAAAGCTAATGGTTTTAAATTAAAAGTGTAGGTTTAAACTAGATATAAGGAAAACATTTTTTATGAGAATGGTGAAATACTCGAATGGGTTCCCTAGAGAGGTGGTAGGTGCCCCATCCCTGGAAACGTTTAAGGCCAGACTGGATGGGACTCTGATCAGCCTGATCTAGTTAAAGATGTCCCTGCTCACTGCAGAGGAATTGAACTACACGGCCTCTAAAGGTCCCTTCTAATCTAAACTATTATACGAATTAAACAGTGCAAAATAGACTCTGATCTCATTTATATTCATGAAAAACTGGAGAAACTCTAGCAAAACTTAAACCACTTTCATGGCTGTAGCACTTGGTCCATTAAGATAAGTGATTATGCAGTTGCTTAGATGGAGCTATTGTAATCACATGCACTATTAAAACAAACACCATGCACCCCCCTCCCAGCCAAACCAAAGTAAATTAAATTGAACTCTCAGCCTATCAGGGATCTTCATGCAATAGAGATTGATCAATTGTTATATTTAGAATTAGCAGTGATTTAGAATTAGCAATATCTCAGAGGAATCTGTAAGTGAATGTGGCTTTTTCATGGCAACCTCTACACTTTTCTTTATGACTAATGAGATTGAGCCTTGAGGGCTGGTTCCAACCCTAAAGTGCTTGGCTCTGCTTCTTCAGGAACTGTTCTGGATAGTGATTCTTTCCAATTTCCTCCCTTGTTATCCTTATGCTTTGGTGGAGTAGGGGAGATGCCTACTCCACCTGTTTATCCCTGTTACCATGCTATTTGATCCTTCAGCTCTACCCGACTGCTTCTTTGCAGGACACCCCTCGCCCCTGTTACACACGTACACAGTCTAACACCTATTTCCTACTCCCTCGATGGCTTGAGAATGGTGAGAATTGAGTGAGCCTTGGATGTACAGTCAGTGATTTATTTCTACAAGCAAAGTTCCACTCCAATTAACTTTAGGCTCTATTCCACATCACAGAAAGCATCCTTCCTCCCTCTGCACACTCATCTACTCTGTCAGAAGTAGGAACAGTTCAGCATGTTGAAGGACTGCTGAGTCCCTGAGTGGATGAAGGCTCCTTTTCAGTTCTTAACTGGGGCTTTGGTTCTAATCAGTATTTGTCATAAGATCCATGTAGAAGCAAATGCTCTGGTGACTGCTGCCCAGAGCCTTTGGAAATTATCACACCAGACAATGTGGACCAAAGGTACTGGGCCTTCAGAAGCCTCCTGCTCCTTAGGATTATATGTTGAGGCTTGCTATAAGTGAACTGCCAGCTCAGTAAATGAGATGAGATTTACTTATACAGTTAGATTAATTGTTTGGAGATGTGGTCCTGACTGCCTTCCAGGCTCACCTGTGACACAACAAATGGATGATGCAGTAGCTGGGCAAATAATCAAAAAAGAAATGCACAGTAGATCATTCTTACAAAAGGCAGCAATTTGGAAGTGTTCACACCAGTGTAATGCTTTAGCCAGGAGGATTATTTTGATAGTTGAAGGTTTTCAGTAGAGAATCACAGAGCAAGTGTAGGTGGTTGGTACTATCACCAACAGTGTCAGAAGGAATGCTTCTGAAATCTCTGGATGCCACAGCCAGGAAAGCCCTTCCCAAAGAGGCACGGGAATTACTTGTATTCTGGGAAACATACCTTATGCTGGGAGATTAACAGAGCTCCATTTAGCTTATCAGAAAGGATGTTAAGAGGCAATTTAATTACTGCCTATAAGTATTTACTGAAGGAGAAGATATCTGATAGTTGAGGGCTCTTTAGTCTGACAGACAAGTAAAATAAGATTTAGCAGTTGGCAGTTGAAGTCTAAAAAGTTCAAGATAGGACACCCCACCCCATTTGTTTTGACAGTGAGAGTAATAACCATTAGAGGTGCATTACTACTGGACTGTTCAAATTCCCCATCACTTGGAGTCTAATCAAAATGAAACGGCTCTCTAAACAGGTTTTGGAGTAACCACTTATACATTTGCTGCAGGAATATTTGGGTAGAGATGTCTGTTCCTCAGTACCTCTTTGTAACACATCACAATTTAAAAGTCTGTTTCATCTTATAATTTACTAAGGCATTACTCCTGCTTCAAAGCATGGGTTAGTGTTTCATGAATTTCTAATACTTGTTAAAGGTCTTTTTAGTGTTGGTAGAAACTGAAGTCTCTCAAACAGTACTGAGAGATCATAAGATGAATAACCTGAGAGGTGCTAAATTAACTGACTACATTCATTATGTCTTTGCTCATGTTTCCATCTGTTTTCATTCTACAGGAAAGAGGAAGCATTCAATATCACTGTTTGAAATCTGATAGCAAATAGTGGCACATATGTTGAACTCTCACACAAAACAAATATATTTATGTTAATATTTTCACTGAGTCTGTGCTTAAAACACTGTAGTGCTAGCAGAGAATGTGAAGGTACATTGAAGTCTACCTGTTTTATTAGTGTGTTCATGTTTTTCCTTTTTGTCCTTTCACAGAGGCAAATCCAGAGAAATTCAACAGCCGATTTAGAAATAAAATGTTTTATGCAGGGGTGAGTTGTGATTTGTCTTACAGAATGATGCTAACTCAGTTGTTCAAATGTTTTCCTGACTGCTTTCCTCCTCGCTTTCTCACATCAGGAGCTCAAGCCAGTTCATTTTGCCTGCTGCAATTTCAAGTGCACATATACAGTTTCTGGTAATGCCATACACACATGTCTGTTTGAAAGTGCCTGAAGCACTGTTGTTTCACAGAGCTCAGCAGGTGACAAAAATGTTATTTGTTTTGACATAATACTGGTCACGTGTTGGTCTCTCTGCTTGTAAGCTTCTCAAAAAACTGGTCTGCTTCTTCCAAGGTTTGGGGAGCACATTGATATTGGTTTTACCACAGAAATTCCCCAAGTGGTTATCTCTGCTATGAGGACAGGCCGAGGGCACTGGGACTGTTCAGCCTGGAGAGAAGAAAATTCGGGGGCACCTTATAACTGCCTTCCAATACCTGAAGGGAACCTACAGGAAGGCTGGAGAGGGACTTTTCACAAGAGTGTGCAGCGACAGGGTGAGGAGAAATGGTTTTAAACTGAAGAAGAGCAGGGTTAGACTAGATCTCAGGAAGAAGTTCCTCAGGGCGAGGTTGGCAAGACTCTGGAATAGATTGCCCAGAGAGGCTGTGGATGCCCCCTCCCTGGAGGTGTTTAAGACCAGGCTGGATGAGGCCTTGAGCAACCTAGTCTAGTTGAGAGGTGTCCCTGCCCATGGCAAGGAGGTTGGATTAGATGATCTCTAGGGTGCCTTCCAGCCTAAGCCATTCTATGATTCTGTATATTTGTAGCTGTGAGGAATAGTCTTGCATGTAGGGTCATGGGGAGTGGACAGCAGAGATCAGTTATTTGAACTGATTGATTTTCATGTGTGAACATGCAAATAAAATTACCCAGTTCTGCATTCAGGAGATGCATGGACAACACTTTATTATAAAGCAGTTAAGACAAACACTGATTTGATAATGCATGACATGATGTGTTTCTGGGTGATGACTCCCACTGAACCGATGTGCCTTAAACATGGAAACAAATATCTGAACAGTGTTGGCATTTAAATCCTTGTGTGTCCAAGGACCTTCTTTAGTTAACCTCTCAAAATGAGAAGTATAATTAAACAAACAAAACAAAACAAAACCAGCTTAACTCCTGAGAGTAAGACAGAATAGGTCTGACCAAGGGATGGCATTTTGGTAATTAGGTTTGTGGTGTGGTAAGAAATGGGGGAAAAGAAGAGAGGAATCCCTGATGACGATTTCTGCATTTATTTCTGTTGCAGGCAGCCTTTACAGACTTTCTGCAAAGAAGCTCAAGAGATTTATCCAAGCATGTTAAAGTTGTGGTAAGTATGAGAAATTGTGTCATAGTGTTGTGGGAAGAGGGGGGAATGGAAAGAGGGTGAGGTGAGAGTTTAATGGCTCTATTACTTTTCAGTTTTGAGCATGACATTTGCAACACATTCCAAGGAAAGTCTTGGGAAAGTTGTTACAAAGCAGCAACACTTCTCTTGTCTGTGGCTCCATTCAGCAATTTCTCTGTGCTCTGTCACTTTGGCTTTGTAGTGTGATGGTACAGACCTGACTCCAAAGATCCAGGAGCTGAAGTTCCAGTGTATAGTGTTTTTAAACATACCCAGGTAAGCTCAAGACAGATGCTTGGAGTTCTAAAGGAAAAATAATAAATTTTTTTTAAAAGGTTGTCCTAGATGGGGTGAATGTACAGGACACATATTACAACTGTGCTGCCTTTTGAGAGATAAGTGCTTATAATACCACTAGTTAGCAACAGAGAATGTGATCAGAGTTCAGGGTTCAGTGAACCCAGCCTTTAAAAAGTTGAACATCCTGATACAGAGATAGTAGAAATTATTAACAAACACGCTTTTGAAAGCTGTACACCTATCCTGCAAATATGACAGTAAAGATACAGATACCTGGTCTTCTTTTTAATTAGAAACAGAGAGTGAAAAAGGAGGGTGGAGGGTGGGGAGGGGAGGAGAAGCAGTAGAGTGGGGAAAAAATGAATATTTTTCTAGTAAAGGAACACAAAACTGTTGAAAGAAGTGCTGTTTTATTACATGTTATAAAGTGTCCCAAATAGGCAACTTCTAGGAATATTTAGCTATGTTTCTATCTCCTGCTCTCTAGAGCAGTAGTCTCCAAACTTTTTTTGATTATATATCTCTAGCAGTAAAAAAATGTTTAAACACCACCCCAATATATGTAAATTTATAAATAAATTATATATATGTATGGATATATTCCATACATTATAAAGCATGCACAAAAGTAGAAATTAAGAATGTGATAAAGATGAAACAAACACTTTTAATGTTTGCTTTCTTATTTGTTAAAAGTACAAAATACATGATTCACACAATCTAATTGTCTTGTCAGTTGTGGATTTTTCTTGCCTACTCCTTGTCGTCCATGCACTCCACTTTTGAGACCATTGCTTTAGACAACCCACCACTGTGCTCCACATGCAATGTCAAGCACTCGATCTTTTGAGTCCCACACTGCCCTCACTGCAAGCTTCTACTTGGTGTCACTGCCCTAGAGTTCCTCCTTCTATGACTCTTAGGTCACTTTTACATCCATTCTTTAATGGTAGGAAAGATAGATGCCACAGCTGCATTTGTTCCATGCCTCCTCAAGCTAGGCAACATTTCGCATTCCTTGTGCTGTTAGATCTGCTGAACTAGCAGGGCAAGA